CCGCTGTTGTAGAGCACTCAATTTTTTCATATGATTATTAATCAGGACCATTAAACTCATGTATAATCGAGTTTATAATGAAACATTTTACGGTAATAATGATTAAATTTCTGATTTCACAGCAAATATTTAATTAAAAAGTAGTCAAAAACTGAATTGTGACTTAATTAACATAAATGTATTGGAAATTAATACCTAGTGTTTATACTTAAAATTAAAATCAAAAAATAATCTGATAAACCTAATGTTATCAGATAATATGTAATATTATTATTACGTAAATAATTCATATAGAATCGTATAAATGAAGATAATTTTAAACGTTAAAAATATTAATAAAAGATATTAAAAATATTACACAATGACAAAAAATATAAAACTATACTAAGAAATACCAAATTTAGATAAGTATAATTATGATATAAATAACTATAAATACTCTTTAGCAATACGTTTTAGTTTTTAAAATTATTTTTATAAAAACTATTAAGTGGATAAAAATTTTAAATCGCAAATTTACTTGTATTTAAAAAACACAATATGGAGATTTTATACAAGGCTCTGATATATTATATTTTTTTTTAGAATATAAAGCATAAGCCATTGGCAACATTCAATGGAAACTTGCCATTCTGAATGTAAAGTGAAATGAAAGTGACACGATAGAACATTTACGACTTTTTTTTTTTATTAGTATTTAATAATTCTGTATAGTATCAAATATAAAAAATATTTGAATAAGAAAAAAATTAAAAAACAAAAATTATACAAGTATCTTTCAAGAATTTTATTAAATATTATGATAGTTTAGATCCAATCTATAATTTAGATTCCAAAGTCTATAATGATTTCTATAAGCCTATAAATACAATATATAAAATAATAACTCTAAAATATTAAATGTGTACCTATTCTATGGTAGTAATATAGGTATAAGTATAGGTATAGGCAGGTGAGGATACAAGCCCCCCTCTTAGACTGGTAGAACCATATCGGACGTAGGTACTTAAAATATTTAAAAATTAGACGTAAGAAAGACTTCCTACAAATTGACATGTACTATGAATTATGACAGTAAATCACTTTAATAGCCCCCTTTTTTATTTCTAGATCCGCGCCAGGGTATAGGTGAACAAGATTTTTTATAAATTGAGTAATATGCCCATTAATATACATACATATGTTAAATACAGAGATTACGTTAGGTAGCTACTTAAAATCCATTGAGTTGTCCCATATTCAGGTTAATAATCGAGTAATACTTCAATTTCATTATTTATTAATCAAATTTTGTCGTCTCTAATATCATGGTCATTCAAATAAAAAATAGGTAGGTATTGATTGTTATGAATAAATTATTATAATTGCCAGAAGGATAAAAAACACGGTTTTTTTTAAATTAAATACAAATGAAAGCTTTACGCGAAACAGTGGTTAAAAAAATGGCGGAAGAAATTAAAAAAACAAGCATAAAATAAAACACTCGTTAACCTCTACCACTGTATGTCAGCACGGGTTTCGCGCCCGAATATTCTTATTCTTTATGCATTTATGTAGACACTCGAAAAATCCTAACGTACCGCAGACCCGCTTTATAAACTCAACCGGTCCCCGGCGATACGCTTGAACAATAATATTCAGAGTACCACTCTCTTACTCTAACGACGTAGTCATATTAAGAAAATTGGCGGGTACGTATGCGGGACAAATGTTGTCTTCGTGCCAATGTATATACTAGTTTTTGTGTTACTATAATATACTTGTTGAAAACGTATAAGGACTGTTGCATTACAGGCGAGTGAAAGATCTCAGGAAAATGTATAAAAATATTGTACTTGCAACGTTAAAAATTAAAAATTAAACATTAAAATTAATGTACGTATATAACACGTAAGGTAAAATTTAATTTTTCCCGTACATTTATGATTAAGATGCCATTTGAATCACTGCGACTAATTTAAAATGTTGTTAAACATCCGGACACGATACTTATGTGATGATAAAATAAGTATAAAAATATTCGTATACTGTATATGTTTACAGACCTACCATTAACATATGTAAAAAATATGAAAACTAAACACAATTAATAAATGATAAACACAAAGCAACGTAAAGTAGCAGAAATAACAAAGTTCGTACAACAGATTTTTTTTTAAGACTGTATACAGTTTGGATACATAACGTGATTATAAAACCAAATTTTTTTGCTTTTTATGTTTTTTATACAAATTAGTTATACGTTTTAATTTTCTCATCCAACCAAAACCCAATCAACTTTTATTAATTATAAATATATATGTATAAATATACTAATGTACACATGTTAGTAAAACAATGATTTCTGATATTTCGTAACTGCAATTTTCGGATAAAGTAAAATGTGAACAACATTTAATGAGAAGTAACGATATATTTAGCTGCATTCATCGCTACTGGGTTAAGGCTTAACTTGGTTTATCTTTATTTAAATTATTTTTTATGTAAGTATACAAACATTAATATATAAAAACGCACACTGACAAATGTATATATAATGCCTACATAACAATAGAGCTAACACATTAATTAAAGATTCTACACCAAGAGCAAATTTATATAACACTGGGGGGTCTGAATAAAATTTTGTTCTAGATTTTGTAGGACCAACAAATATATTTGTTTGTTTTGCTTGACCTTGTATTTAATAATATATCTCACCGACTACATTTATGTTTATTGTGCTTATATTTTTTTTTTTTTATATAGATATACATTTCACAGTTGATAAGCTGTTTATATATATTTAGATTTTACCAGTATTTATTATGTAAGTTAAGCAAATATACTTGTATTCAAGTAACATTAAATGTTAATATTATATGATTGATGTATGTCAATAAATTAGCGATTGACTTTAAGCAAATATGGCAAAATATGATTCGAAAAATTCTATGGAGTTGTGCTCATGTTTATTTAAAATTTAAATTTATGAAATTGAAAAGAAATATTAAGTTTAGATATTTTTCGGTCATATTATTTGTAACAATGTACTGGTTCAATCGTGTTCGAATTATTCTAATAACAGACTTATTTTTCAACAATGATGATACGTTTTCCATTGGATACTTATGAAACTGCAAATTGCAATGCATTTATTGATTATTTATAAATATGATTATTGACAATAGTATATTATTATAACTAACCGTATATGACTTAGAACTTAGGAATATATAACTAAATATAGAAAAAATAAATAAATAAAACTATTTTTTTTACTGTAATATTACATTGCTGTAATGTCGGTATTTTTTGAGTGATAAAAGCAAATAAATTAATAAAAGAACCAGATACTGGTTTTGTATTTAATCTATGTATTAACATATCTACTAAATTTTAAATAAATTAATGTCGTGATAACTTTAACAAATGCAGATAGACCAAAAATAATACTGTCAACAAGAAACTTCAAGAAACCAATCACATCTACAATGACAGTCACATTTGGAAACAAACAATATGAACATCCACGTTGAATATTAAAATTAGATTTTCTAACGATAACATATTTTCTTTTCAATCCTAATATTAGTGATAGTTAAATAAATATTAAATATTTAACTACTAATGAATATATTATAGCAGATTAAGTGTGGGCAAAATGTTTATGTAAACATTTCTTTAGCACATAACACACGACATATTGCTAACAATCTTGAATTTTTGTCATTAATTTTTAAAATCATTGAACTTTCCGAATAAAATACTAGTGAAGAATCTTTTAATAAATAAAATTCCATTAGATCGAATGTGTTGAATAATGTATTATGTCACTAATCTATTAACTTGAAAGTAATGATAAGATTTAAAATTTAGTGCAAAAATAACATTTTAATCTAGAATTTTGATGTATATTTAAGACATACTTAATTTATTTCATGCAGTTAATAAAATTAGTGTTATTATTTAAAATATAAATAAAAAATAGGATATCTTCTTCATTAATCTTTATATTTCTGCAGCTAAAATTTTTTAATAAAAAAAATTGATAGGGTTTGTTTTCACCGTAGTTCTAACTTTATTAAATTTAAGATTTATGTTTATAAGAAATAACTTACGATTTTAAAATCTAGAATTGATTGTTTGAATATTATTTTATTAAATTAAAAATTGTATAGAAGAAATAAAAATAATAATGTTAATAAAAATTATACTATATTTATAAACGATATATAAAATAATGAATAAATAAATAATTAAAATTTTGTTGCTAAAACTCTGCATCAAGTCTATAAAAATCTAGATTTATCATCGTTTAATTTAGAACAAAATAAAATAATTAAATGATCGATTTTTTTAAAATTGATTTGCCATCAATGTCACTGTTTTTCAGAACTTTTTTGATTCAACTTTGTTAAATTTTGTGAAATTTAAATAAATATTGGTTCAATCATTTTTTTTTTTTATTTAATAAATAAGACATTCCTAGGCCTATGGCTATCTACATCTATGGAATAATAAAGAACATTAGTTTGTGGCTATTTCAATCATACGATGTAAATATTAAAAAAATACAATACATATTCTTATCGATATATATAAATCTAAACATTTTCGGAATCATTCAGCAACAATAAAAAAATATAACACAGAAAACCAATATGGGTATTTTATTTTTCAGAACCAACAAGTTAGCTGTTCCGTTTAATCGTTACAAACACCCAAATCTGAACATTCGTTTGTTTGCAAAAAAAATAACAGATGTTCATCTAATAGAATACCAATGGGGTCACCCTGTCCACCCAACATTATTATTCATTTGTATTCATGTTCGGGTCGAAATTGATTTACAAAAACATGTCAAAGGGTCCATCGTTTTCCCAAGTTTATTATTTATAATCGTACGCGTAAATGTACTATAGGTAGTTTGATTGTATAATGACTTCTTCGGTGGGATGGTAAAACAATTATTATGAAGTAATATTTTCAATAAAAATGATAAATACTTAACGACTTACCGGTAATCCAAAATAATACGGTTAGTTCGACAAGCATATTGTATGTGGATTCACGTGTTCCAGAGATAATGTATTTAAGAGGCTAATAATATTAAAATATTCAAGTGAATTACGATAAAAAAGTTATTTTCGCGCAATAATGCCACAATGATTTCAGTTGCGAGTTATTTCGTTAGTTTCTAATATTTTCATACTGTAAAAATGGACGTATACGCACTGTAAACGAACGTCACAGCTGGCGCAGCCGCCGGTTGTCTGTATCCGTAGTAGTCTAAAACTCGAACTCGTGGGCCGTGTCGTTGCACTGGAACAAGCCATCGTCGGGTTGACGCGCACCCTGGTGGCGATCATCGAAGTCGGTAGCGCGCGCCAACGAGTGTTCCACTATTATTAGTATCGTTATTATTATTACTACTATTACATTACTGTATTTCCGCTAAATTGTAATTATTGTTGTTATTATTATTATGATTATTATTATTTTTAATAATGTTTGATTGTTGTTGTTGCTTGCAGCGGTAAGCATGGCCGCGCGCTGCCATCACATTATCTCAATTCACAGTCGTTCGGACGAATCCGGTTTTTCGCACGCGTACGCCGACGAATAATACGTAGTCACCCACCGGACACGCACGTGCAATTTTTATTTCTCGTCAATGTCATCTCATCGGGTGAATTTCTCTCGAAATATAAGGACTATTATGTACATTTTCTCCGGCCGATCGTCAGCTGTCGCATGTCGTTTAGTACGCTCGTCGCCGTTTCGCAGAAACACTCTTCACTCATACCGCGAAAATAAACGTATACATCACATTATTATACTCGTCCGGTTGGTACGTCAGATGATGACTATTTCGATGAATCACGGTAATACCACAGTACTGCAACGAAACCGAACACGGGTTATGTTACTGTCGCTGTGGATATGATTGTGGTTTTGTTGATGGTAGTGGTGGTGATGGCAGTGACCGATGTGGTATAGGCATGTACACGGTTCTTTTGATGTGCACACTTGTAAGCTGAACAAAAGAAATTTAAAAATAGGGTCGTCCGATGGCTTCTTAGCTGCGACGCGCGTGAAACGATTTTGACTACACTAACGCGTATTCAGCTTATATTTCACGTGGGGGAAAGAGGTTGAATATCACGACAACAGATTACAAAATTAAGTGATCATCGTACGTACAATAAAGTGCCCAACTATTTTTATAATGTCTGCGTGTAAATGGATAGGGATTAGAACCTAAAACATCAAAATGCTGGGAGTTACATTTAATCATAATTAAAAAAAATTATTTTTTATCACAAAAATGGCCACAAATATGAACTTGATTTATTTAATATCTCAACTTCCTCTTCATTTGTGTAAAACGACACTAGTGTCGAGATCTCTTTTACGTCCAGACTTTAACTTAAAGTTTTTAAAAATGCCTCCTATGTTTGTGGATTCCTAGAGTAGGCACTGTGGAGACTTGTGAGTCTTGTAAGTCAAGTATAATTTAAAATATTTCTTATAATTCATTAGCATATTTACTTTATCAAAAAAAAAAAAAAAAAAAATACAGATTATAAATATTCCTTAAATTTAAATATTATAGTATATTATATTATCCTTAAATATTATAAATGCTTTTATAAATGAAACGATTTTGTTTTCAGTTTCCCAGGAATTTCGAATAGAGGGAAAATTACAGCTTCTTAGTATTACCCTTATAAAAATTACAATGATTTATCCCCTCTTTATATATATATATATTATAGTGTCTTTAATGATTTTGTAATAGACTTTTATAAGATTAACGGTGTGTATAATCCCTGTTACCTCATAAGCACCTGCGTTCGTTGTCTGGCGTCCGCATCCTTCGATATTTTTCAATCATCCATCATTTTAATATAATTTACTAATATAAAAAATTATATACTACAGCATTACTTTGTGTTAGGTTAAAAAAATAACTCTTTAGTTTGTTTTGTCAATTTTATTCCGACTAACAGCTTTAAATCAGAATCCTAGTTTTATTTTTGCAAATATTATCGAAATTATCAATTAAGACGTGTTTGTCTTACGATGTTTAACTATTTACTAGTATTTAGTGATTCACATGACTAGAGTACGGACTTAAAATGCATTAATTTTTTTTTCTACTGCTATAAATTGAAGCTATGTCAGCCATAAGTGCGATTTATACTACTTAGAACAAAATGCACGACATTTTATTTTGTTTTTTTTTATTTTTCGTATATAAATGCTTTTTTGGGTATTTTTCTTTTGCTTTATATTAAATTTATTCAAAATATGTTCTAAATAAACGTAGTTGATTAATATTTACTTTTATATTATATAATGTGTTCCAAATCTTATTCAATCATTTCTTGACAATCTTTCCCCGTGTGTTCAGTTTGTTACGTATCGTATGGTATATAGTAGATAAATTTATCTTGAGATGACAATAAACACAAAAATATGCTTTTGTTCTAGAAAATATCTACTCAGAATTACAGTTTAGTTTTCGTTGTAATACTGATCGGGGCGGATCCTAAGTCGGGGAACTGTGGGTTAAGCCATTTCAAGAGGCCATTTATTACGGATGAAACTGAAATAGAAATGAATACTTTGTAAAAAAAAAAAACACAATATGCTCATAAAAGTGTATAAGTATATTTATATTACATTTTAGAATTAGTGATACCACCGATAATGAATTATTTACGATTAATAAATATAATCTAATTTTATCAGCGAAACAAACGTACGGAATAAAATATGATTTACTTAACTTTTTACTAAAATGATATAATTTAAAATATAAATTATGAATTGAAAAATTTTAAATTTCGAATAAACAAGGCATTCATTTTTCAGTAACTCCGATGGGCCAATTGTTCAAGAGTCCAAATCAAGATCTAAAAAGAGAAAAAAATTTCCAAGAGGCCAATTTTGTCAACAAATATTAACTGTGGGTCAGCTGACCCCCTGAACCCTTCCCTAAATCCGCCCCTGTCGTATAGTAATTTACAAAATGCTAAAAATTATTTATTTTCATTTTTAATGGATTTTTTTAGCTTTTTTAGAAGATTTATACAGCTTTATTGTCTTTTTTTAGTGCTTTTCTTTAATTTTTTGTTGCTTTTAAAATCCGTACTCTAAACATGACTATTAATTTCATAAAATGTCCCTAGTATTATTTTTTTTTTTTTTTTTTTTTTTAGTAATCGTACTCATTTATTTACTGAAATTTCAACTACTTGACTTAGTTTTTTATCAATATTTATATTAAATTAATTATTTATTACTATTTACTATTTAGATGCATAAAATGGTAATACATAAGTACGGTAAAAATTGAATTATTCTGTCTTAGTGTATAAATACAAATGTCATTGGCGTCTCAAGACGCTTTTATAGGGGGGGGGGGTAAACTCCTTACATATATTCACACTTATATATTTTTCTAGTATAATATAAATAATAAACAACAACAATTTGAAGAAAAAAAAGAGGGTGATTGACCTGAAAGAGGTTGAATACAACTGATTTGTTACTATTTTATAATTTTCAATTGATAATATTTGTTTGAAGTTACATAGAAAATTAATATTATTGATTATAAGTACTAATAGAACGATAATCAATGCTAATTTATCAAAATAAAACTTAGAAAAAAAAAGTAATTTTGTAATTATTCAATAGCTTTCTTGTGATATTTAATATTTACTGAAAATTCACTATTTTATTATTATAATTGTTATTCTGAAAATTATCATTTAATATAACAATAAAATATAAATACTTTAGTTAATAAAGCTTATCCTATTTGTTCATTGATTAAAAACTATGTTTTTGTATGAAAATAATAATTACTTTAATTTATAATTATCTTTATTAGAAATAAACATTACCTTAGTATTATATAGGTTGTTCTCTTATTCATGTAGTAATGATTAATGGTCAACAATATCACGAGATATATCCATTTATTTTATTAGAATTGACAATATTGTATACATTTAGGTGATTGCTAAAAACTTAACCATTGTATAGGGAAATAAATGAACGGAGTTTTACATAAGAAATGTGCTTAACATTTTAACGAATAACTGGATTGATGAAAGCAGAGTGATTGATGCATATATATTAAGTTTTTCCAAGTTAATTTTTCATTACTTAATACGTTGTTTATTTTAAACACGTCTTCTTTCTTAGACGAAATTGAATTTGTCTAATGATACAAATAAAAAAGTGTAAGTAATACGTGAAATTGAAAAGTAATCATTTTTATACTTGGCATTATATTTTGAGTTACTATGTCGAATTAATCATTCAGATAAAGAATAAAACTAAATTAATCTAAGTTATAAAAATATAGCAAAAAATAAAAAATAAATCCTTTAATATTTCGCTAAAAATTTTTTTAAAAAAATCAGTAATTAATTATTATTATAATTACAAATGTAAATAATTTTTAGATAGGTAGTTAGATCAATCATCAAGTTCAGTGAAGGTGAATAATACAATATACAATTAAGTAAAGTACATTACCAATGTTTTTTATAGAATTGTAAGTAGATGTGGCGAGGACAATTTTTTTTAAATTAGAAACAGTATTATACTAGTATTATACAATAAGAAAAAGCAGATTTTGTTGGATATATTTTTGAAATCTTTTGAATTTATAATTAAATCGTGTTTAAGTGTTTAAGACAATCATTTTTCATTTTAACCTGTTGAATATAATGGAAAATTAGTCGTAGTTACGAGAAACGGTTAATTAGTTGGAATACGTCACTACATACTGTAGATGAATATTAGTGCCTAAATAAATACAATATGAGACATTTAATGAAACTCAAACATAATTGTTTTTTATCATTATGTTATTAAATATAATTTTAATTTATTGTCATATACTGAACTAAAACATTGCAATTTGTTTTTATGATCATTTATTGTTAAAATAATATACGGATTATTTTGATGAATACATAATGAGTTATAGTTAACATTAAACTGTAGCCCTGAAAATTGATGATGTAAAAACACAAGGACTCTGGAGAATTAGTGACTAAATTAATACCTATTTAAAGTACAAGTGATTTCATAAATTAAATAAAAAGCGTAAAGGGCATTAATTTGTATGAAGGATCAAATACTTCACAGCCATCTAAAATCAACAAAACACAAACTTTCTAAAAGTATGGTAATTATAATATAATATAGCCTTTAATAGTCACTAGCCATTATTTCCTGTTACAATTATATTATAGATCAATTATGATGATTTACTTTAATTCATTGCATTTAATGTTACC